CCTTATGGAAATTTTTTGATTAAAACAATATTTTCTGTTAATTATAAATTAACGTTTATTGAAAGCAAATTTTTTTTTTCTTTTATAAAAACAAATAATATTTCTATTATAGTCAATTAATTACTAATTCCTAATACGCGTTTTAACTCTTTACGGCCGAATAGGAACTATTGTTCCCAGAAACGTATAAAAAAATTTGTATCTTCTAGCTAGCTTTTTAATTTTTTTCGGTTGCCATATTGGATCCGCCATTTTGTATTTTGAAAAACTGACCTCGAATTCGTAATTAGCGATCCCAATGTAGTAATTTTCAGAAGTTTAGGTCAACTTTTAATTTTTTTCAACCGCCATATTGGATCCGTCATTTTGTATTTTCGAAATTTGATCTCGAATTCGTAATAAGCGATCCGAAAAACCGCCTAGTAATCATTTTCAGAAGCTTAGCTTAACTTTTAATTTTTTCGGCCGCCATATTGGATCCGCCATTTTGTATTTTTAAGAACTGACCTCAGATTCATAATCCGGAACAAGAATGAACAGGGAAAAAAAAATTTCTTTTTTCAGTAATTCTTATCTAATTTTTATCAATACAATTTGATTTCATACAGACATGTAAAACGTATAGCAGTTCTATAGGAGTTTATTCTCAGAAGCATTCAACCTTAAAGAAGGTATAAAAAAAAAATTCCCAAAGAAATTATATAAGTTCTAAAAATTTTTTTTTTTCAACATTTTTCAAAAGTCCTTCACTTTTCCATACTGTGATATAATATAACTCCTTTGGATGCATCTTGCGCTGTCCTCGTAATTTCCAATGAAAGCTCTGGGAAATTAGCTTCAGGCATACGTTACCCTCTTGTTACCCAGTTTTTTTTTCCTTTCTTTAAAACTTGATTCTATCTACTTTCCCTCACTCTTTTTTTTTTTCTAGAATATAACCGTGGTGAACGATAATGCGTGATTAGAAAGAGAGAGAGAGAGAGAGAGAGAGAGAGAGAGAAAGAGCCAAGTGGAGAAATGTCTCTCTGCAAGAGAGAAAAAGTGGGGAAAAAAAAATAAAATAAAATAAAAGCGGCCAAAGTAAGTCGCGTTTGATGGTGGAGGTTTTAGGAATCCTACCTTCACAATTTCTGGAAAGCTCACAGGGAAGGCGTTGCTTTAAAGCTCCGCCTGCAAGCTCATTGGAACGCCTATAGATGACACGCCCCAAAAGATCGTCTTTCCCTAAAACGCATACATGTGAACTTCACCATTAATACATACACATACACATATTTTACTATTTATACAAACACTGTGAAAAATATTTATACATTAAAGAAATGTGCATCTATATATATAGTCAATCTGGTAAATCCTTGCCTCTCTCTCTCTCTCTCTCTACCCCATTTCTAAGAAGTCTTGCATTTACTTATTCACCTAGGGGTAGAAATTTATAGAAGCCATATACACATTCAGAATACTTGAGACATATATACCGATAATGCAATTGATGCTGTACACTACTCCGCAGGTATTGCATCCAATCCGCAAGTCAGATGCTATCGCTATACGATGTGACTTTTTATCATTTATGCGAGCCGATAAATTTATGAATGGAGATCAATTACAAATATTAAAAAATAATGCAAAAAGGAATTTCTTTTCTTCATTTGTTGACCTCATAGAGAAAGTATAGAATTAGTTTTATTTTCTCAGATTTTGACCAACGGCAGAACGTTTTGGATTTTTTTAACGAGACAACTTATGTCTTAAAAGGAGAACCCTTTTTTGCAAGTGTGGATCTAAAAATAATTTCCTTATAAGAAGGATTTTTAATGAAACTTTAAAATCTGATTTGTTATGAATTTTTCTTTCTGAACAGTTTTGCTGTTAGTACAACAGTATTATACTGTTATTTTGCATTGTTAGAAATCGGACTCATAACTTTACAACAGAATATAATTTGAAGTTAGTTTCAATCTCGAAAAGTGTGAATCTTTTTAATGAAAAGTTGAAGTCCGATTTTTAATAGATTATGAATTGTTAGATGAACAAAAAATTTGTTTGCAACACCAAATCACTCTCTAAATTTGAATTAGTAAAAATTTTAACTGATTTTGAATCATTTTAACTAAGAATTAGTTAAAATTTTTACAAATTCAGATTTAAAGAGCAGGTTTGTTACTTCCGTAAGAACAATCCAACTGTATTTATTGGAAACAATTTCGAATTGTTGGACGAATAAAAAATTTATTGCAACAACAAACCAGATTTATTGGTTCTCCAACAATCCAACTTTTTTCTGTGTAGATGTAAACCTATATTTGCATTTAGTAAAATTAAAATTGTTTTTTTCTGTTTCAGATGGAAGGTAATTGGTATATGGAAAATATAAGATTTAGAAAACCAAATCGTAAGAATTTATGTTTCCATCGTTTTGATAGAGAAGAAAAATCTAGGGACGAGTTTTCCAAGGAAGAGAAATTGCGATATTTTTATCGTAGAAGAATCATCAAGTGGAAAAGTGTGTTTATTTTAGAAAACCAAATCGTAAAAATATATTTTTTTTCCTTTTCGATATCGTAGAAAAGACATCGATTTGCTATTTATCCGCACTCGGTAAAAACGGACTCGCACAGTATAGAAATACAGTATGTAGAATAATACAGTACAAAAAAGTTGATCGCAAAAAAAAAATTGAACAAAGACAATTGCCAACCCTCATTAAATACAGTCTAAAATCTGTTCTAAACAGAATAATTTATTTTCTATTTCCTTAACAAATAAAACGTGTATTTACATTAACAATTTAAAATTTTTTCTACTTTCTATCCATTTTTTTTTCGTTTCATCATATCTTGTTGGAATTTTTGAGCCGTGGTTCGATGAAAAAAAAAAGAAAATCGAATTCATTCAATATATACCTGGAAAATGTATTACTTAATATATATGTATATTTGTACTTTGCGGATATATATAGTGCAAGTATCACACTAGCATTTATGCAGGGAAATTGTACACAGTGCGCCTTATCTCGAAACTTGAGACACACCCTCAGTTATTTTGTATACAATCTAGACTTGCGCAAAATCAAGGAAAGTTGCGAGGATGAAGTGAATTGCGTGGGAGGAGATGAGTACGAACAGAATCGTGAAACACAAGGAGAAATCAAGTACACAGAGAGGGAGAGTGATAACTGTTTTATTAAAAGGGGAAAAAGATATAAATATATATATATAATAATACTAATTTTGATAATGAACAATTAATATTTTCTACTTCAAGGTCATATAGAAATATTTATTTTGTAATAATAAATAATAAAGCAATAATAAATTACATTGCAAAAATTTACTCACTAATTCAAATTAGTTAAAATTTTTACTAATCTAAACTAAAAATTAGTGAAAATTTCTACTAATTTTTAGTTATTTTTCACTTAAACTTTCAGTATATAAAAATATTACTAAATCGAATAGTATATAATATTCTCTAAATTTGAATTATAGTTAAAGTTCTAATTAATTTGAATTAGTGACTTACTTTTTTTTGCTTTTGAATTAGTTTAAAATTAGTTAAATTTTACTAATTTGATAATACAAAAAAAATTATTTAATAAATAAAATTTAACTAATTCAATAACAAAAAAGTCACTAATTAAAATTGGTTATAAAATCTTTACTGATTCAAATTTAGAGAATGTTTTACTCAAAATTAGTTAAAATTTTTAGCCATTTTTCACTTTAAACTTTAGTAAAATGAATATTACTAAATTAAATAATGAATTATTTTGAATTAGTAAATGAGTAATTAGTAAACTAAATTTTAATCAGTAAATTAGTAAACTAAATTAGAATTAGTAAAAATTTTAACTAATTTCAATTAGTGACTAATTTTTTGTTTCTGAATTAATCAAATTTAACTAATTAAAATTAAAAAAAATTTCTACTATCGAGTTAGAAAAATTTAACTAATTTAAAAGCAAAAAGTAAGCCTGTAATTGAAATCAGTTAAAATGTTTATTAATTCAAAATTAGAATATGTATTTAACTAGAAATTAGTGGAAATTTTTACTCAGTTTCCATTTAAAAATTTAGTTAAAAAAAATATTATTAAATCAAAATAGTGAATTATTTTGAAGTAGTAAACTAAATTTTAAATAGGAAATTAGTAAGCTAAATTTGAATTTTTAAAATGTTTAACTAATTTCAATTAGTGACTTTTTGTTTCTGAATTAGTAAAATTTAACTAACTAAAAGTAAAAAATACCACTATTGAGTTAGTAAAATTTAACTAATTCAAAAGCAAAAATTGATTCTCTAATTGAAATAAGTTAAAATTTTTTGCTGATTCTAATTTGAGTGTATTTAACTAAAAATTAGTTATAATTTCTACTAATTGTAACTCATTTTTCACATAAAACTTAAGTAAAAAAAAAATCGTTACTAATTTCTAGTCATTTTTAACTTAAAACCTTAGGGAAAAAAATAATACTAAATCAAAAAGTAATATTTTACTAAAAATTAGTATAAATTACTAACTCTTTGGAGAAAAGTTTGCAGTGGCAGCAAAAAATTCGTAAACTTTTTCAAGTTTTTAAGTTTGAAAACCCTTTTTTTTCTTACAACTAAAAATATTGGTTTACTCAACTAAATAGTTGTAACTGATACCAATAAAAAAATTTTTTCTCCCAACCAAATATCCAAAAACAGAAATTTTATTTTCACAATTTTTTGCTTAATATTGTACATAAAATATTTGTTTTAACGTGCGATAGCATTAATTTGACTAATTATTGTGAGCTGTTAATTTATTCCAGTATTTAAATTTATTAGGAAAAAAAAAAAATTAGAAAAAAAAACAAAAAAATTTAACAATATCTCCCCTCTCTTTTCCAAAAGAAAAGCTATAGCTCCTCTCATTCCCCTCTCTTATAGAAAGGATCTTTGAGGAACCGCCCCAGCGTGGAAGTGAGACAGAAATTCGAGATCTGGGGATGATGAGGATACCTCCTTAAGACTGAGGGTGAGCCATCCGTGGACCAGGATGCTGGGCGATGGTGAGGGAATCGCTAAAGAAGTGAATATGGAGGGGTGTAGTCGAGAATGTGATCGTGTATGGGTAACGGTGGGGCAAAACGTGCGCCGCGACGCTTCAACATACTAAACACGCACAGTCGCGGTTCGGTTGCCGTACTCAACGAATCTGTTTGTATCTTCCCGCTTTATCATACACATATATATATATATATGTATACCACACCACGTGGTACACTATCTGCAAAAATATTACGTTTTCATATTCAAAAAAAATTTATTTTTCAAAATTAACAAAATTTTCACATTCTTTCTCAGTATTGTGACATTATTGTGATATAAAAATTAAGAAAAAAAAAAATTGTTTTCCCTATTTTGAAAAAAATATCACGCTAATACGTTGAACTTTAGTTATAGTGCTAATAAATAAACATTCTAAAAAATTTTTGGTCAACTTTTTAACCGTTTGAAAAATAATAAACAATTTTAAATATTACAATTTAATTAAGAAAAAAAAATTATTTTCTAAGTGTTTTTCGGTAAAAAAAAAAAAATAAGTGAGAAGAATTTTGATTGTGGATTAAATTATAATTATTCGAGAGTGAAGTGATTTTTTTTTTGAGAGAGAAAATGTCAATGAACTGTGAGAGGATTTTAAAATGTTTCCCGCTAATTTGAGAGGTTGTCGATTTAAACTGAAGTGATTCAGCGAATCGCAATATTATTAAAAATTTATAGTGCAACACGCCAGTGTTTGCGGTTAATTTAAGATTGAAAATTATTTTTTTTTTTAAATATCGATTAGGATTGAGATTAAGAAAATAACATCTCGCTCCGAATGGCGTCAACATTCGACTCGGGGGATCATTGAGAGGTTTTTGAAGGGAATGGATTTTCAGAGCGTAATGGAAACGATGGCAGAGGCATGGGTGGCTGCTAACACCAAAAATGAAGTGCAGGTACTTTTTGTACTTTTTTGTACTTTTTTTTTAAATTTAATATGCGATTTGTAGAATGGTAAATGTTAAAAATTACACACAATGGTTTGTAAAAATTACTAGCATGTATAGTAAATTTTACCATACTGACTATAGAATATGTATAGTATATCAAAGATTACAGTACAGTATGGTAAATTTTAACATTTGTTAAAACTAATTTCTACATTGAAAATAGAACAATTTTTTAAACTAAGAATTCTTTTTTCTTTATTTAATCACCAATAAATTAGGATTTAAGGAAATAAATAATTAATAAAAAAAAAGTGATTAATAATTTATATAATTTTGATAATTTCGGAAAAATTTGACCTGAAAAAGAAGATCAGAATTAAATCCAATTTATTGTTTTTCACAACTAATTGGATTATGAATTTGCAAATCCTCTTATAATTTCATTTTCATTTGTAAATATAATCGCTCGAGGAAATTTAAAAAAAAAATCATTATAAATAAGTTATTACATTTTTCAATGTAAATGGAAAATTTTATGGATGATTTGGATAAAAAAAAGAAGGATAATATGGGATTTACAAGTCAAAGTGATAATAATTTTACTATTCAAAAGTTAATGGAACATTTTTTTTTTATTATGAATAAATGATATATACGCATATGAGAATGAGAAAAAAATTCTCTCAATGGCAAATTATTTTTTTTTAGATCTACATTGAAAAGGAAATGTATAAGAAATTTTCATAAGTGGAGTATAGAAAATTTTTTGCTATATATATGTTACAATTTACACCCAGAGAAATGTTTTATTTGAACCAAATATAATATATTTGAGTTAAATAAACGTAAATGTTTGTCTCACAGCCTATTAGCCCATTTATTTGTCGCAAATAAAAATTTGTTTGAATCAAATAAAAATTTGTTTGAATCATGTAAAAATTTTGTTTGAATCAAATAAACTTTAATTTGCAACAAATAAATATATAATTTCTCTGGGTGTATTAAAATTTTTACTAAATCTATTGAAATTTCTTAAATATTTTCTTTTAGTTTACCTATATATTTTTATTGTTTAGTGATAAATTATAAATTATTTCATTAAAATAAAAATTTATTTGAGCCAATGAAAAATTAATTTAAAATAAAATTTTTATTTACTACAAATAAATAAGTTAGTAGGTTTTGAGACAATTATACGTTTATTTAACTCAAAATATAATTTATTTGGTTCAAATAAATCATTTCTCTGGGTGTATAAATTATAAATTACATATTACAAATTATAAATCATATAAAGAATAATATATTAATTTTAAATAAAAAATAAAAACTATTTACAGTTTCATATAATGTGAGATAAATATTATAACATATTTTCAAATATACACAAAGAACGAGAGGTATTGAATTTTGTTTTTAAATGCTTTTGTGTTATTGTATGTTTGATTTTGTAAGGAATTAGTGGATTAGCAAAATTGTTGGTATTGGTGAATGGAGCATCACACAAGGATGGTGTGTAATGCCCATTCAAGTGTCTTTGGCTGGCAATGAATGCACATATATAGAACTATGCTTTTGAGTCGCAGGTTTGTAAGGGCGATAGCCATGAATATTATATATATATATGTATATACGATCGCTATAGCTATATATATATAAAGCGACTCGAGGGTGCCTCGAGGTCGAGAGGCAACCCCTTCTAACATTACACAGCCAATTGGACACCCTTCTGATTTCTGCTCCCTTAACATTCACAACCGTTGCCATATCTAATTCAGACCAATTCACTTCCTGGACACCTTTTTTTTTGACTTTTGTTTATATACACATTCTGCGACCCAGAAATTCTTCAGTTCAAAAAAGAAAGAAAGAAAATACCGATATATCAACATTTTTATTCGGTATTAAATTTTGATATACTTAAAACCAGAGAAATATTTTATTTGGACCAAATATAATATATTTGAGTTAAATAAACGTATATTTGTATCAGCCCATTTATTTGGCGTATAAATAAAAATTTTATTTGTCATAAATATAATTTTTATTTAGTCACTGCTGCCAACTACAGCCGTATGTGTGCGGTATAACCTCACAAAAGGCACGATTACAGTTGGTAGCCTATACAAAATCGCTCAAAGTAGAAATAGTTCTTTCTTAATGTTATATATTATTCATCATTAATATTAAACAAACCTCTCCACACTGACGAATTACTGAAATTGCACTGATTCGCAGAGTAAGAGACTATACTAAACCACAATCCCTCAAAATAAAATTAGTTTTTCCTTAATGTTACTTATTATTCATCATTAATATAAAACAACCTTTTTTCACGTTTCATTTTTTCTTATATCATCTTTTGGGTCGCCAGTCATCTGAAACAAAAAAAAGCACAGTTCAATACAAATTTTTAAGGTTATGTTTTGTTGAAACTTGCGAATAACGTAAACTTTTACTATTTCCATTAATATTAATATTATTTTTTCCACACCGACGAATCACTGAAATTCAACTAATTTAGATACAAAATCGCTCAATATAGAATTAGTTCTTCCTTAATGTTATTTATTATTCATCATTAATATTAAACACCCTTTTTTCAAAACCGTTTCACTTTTTCTTACATCTTCTTTTGTATCGCCAGTGATCTGAAACAAAACAAAAAATAAATTAGTACAAATTTTTGAGGTTATGTTGAAACAATAATTACTTATCATAAGATAAAAGATATTTGTTTTTATTATACTTTATACCTTAAGTAGCAGTAAACAATCGATTCAGAAATAGATCAATTATCGTTAATTTAAAAAAAAAAATAATTAAAAAATGAAAATAAAAATTAATTTAATACGAATAAATATGAGAAATAATATTTGTAAATTCACTGGGGAAAAAAAAAATTATGAGATTTTATCCCTATATATATTCTTTTTTTTCTTTTAGTCGTAAAGACGAGAGATTTCCGTTTCGGTAGTGGAGAGTGGCTTTATAACGACATGAAAATAGGCGCATAACCACTGGGTGGACTGAAATATCATGTTGAAAAGACTAGAGGAGAGTTTTCGAGGGTGGGGGGGATAATCCTCGGTAAAACCACGGGCAGCTTTATATATGCGTTTGTATATATATATATACATATATGTACATGTGTGTGCAGGGGGTCACGGGTTCTGACCACGATACGGATGTGCCCCTGCCTTCTTCCTGTGTGCCACGACCACGTTTATGGCTTGGCATTTGGGTGCAATAAGACCACATTGCATATCCATTCGCAAAAACCAAATCTTCAAATAATCGACAATTTGTCGTCTCAGCTATTCTTTTTCAGTTAAAATCGAAAATCGTACTAAATTCGATTTGAATGTTTACTCTGTTGAAAGGAATAATTAAAAAATGGAAAGAATTAAAAAAAACCTTTTTTATTAACTGAAAATTTTAAGTAACGTGTTGGGTTGTAGCATATTCTAGATTCACAAACTATTCGCGTTTCAATTCGTTTACATGAAGCACTACAAATTTTCATGATACAAACACTGGTACGTTGTTATTTGTCTACTGCTGGGATTAAGCTTCCATAGTCTGACGCATCGGTACATGCTTAATTTCAGTTTCCTGCGGAAAAGAGTGAGAGAGAGAGAGAAAAAAAAGAGAGAGACAGTGAGAATAGGACCCGTGAATAGTGAGGGACGTAAACAGACGGAAAGAGAGAGATAATCCTCCCGAGTATTGGTGACATATTATTTTTAATGAGAAAATTCATTTAAAACACTACATACTTTCAGCTATGTGTAAGAAGAAAACGAAAATTGATGAAAATTTATATATATACTAGTTCTAATAACGAATTTGGTTTTAATTTGGAACGTTACTCTTTTTTTCTTATATTTTAAGAATAGTATTTTTCCTATGGAGAAAATTAGCGAATATTATAAATTGAAAGATTTTAATAATTTAGATTTAATTTGATTTTTTTAAAATAAAGTTAAATTAAATTATTTGTATACCTAAGCAGAACTTCAGAGAGGTTAAAGACAGTAAATATATTCTGCGCCTGCGCAAAAGCAGTGGATATATTCTGCGTTTGCGCACAACAAACATTCTGCGCAGACGCAGAATATATATACTGCCTTTGCATCTGCGCAGAATATATACAGCTTCTGCGCAGACTCTGAATATATTTACTGTCTTTAACCTCACGTAACAATATAAATTTATCCACACGGTGAAAACAGTCTCTAAGTATATAAAAAAAAAAATTTTTTTAAATAATATCTGACTGTTATGAAATAAATATTTAATTATTATTTGAATTAATTAAATAGCATTTGGTACAAATACAGAAATTATTGGTTCAAATTATTTAATTCAAGTAAAAATTATCTGATTTAAATAATTATTTTATAATAGTTAAGTTTTTGATTATTTAGAAAAAATAATTATTTTTTCTAGTGGAACACTTTTTTTTTGTGGTAAAAAAAATATCAAAAAATTTTAAGAGACCGTTGACTGTTTAAACCGCTACCACGTGTGCGTATCAACAATTCAGGTAGTGTACAATCAGGTATGGAACTATATATATATATATATATGAGTGTGTATGGTCACGGTATTTGGCCACCCCTTTTGCCCGGAATGATTGTAATCCATCTATCCGGCCCGATGCCGATACATCAAACCCAGGAACTCGCGTCTCTTTCGCGTTGATTTCATTTCGCTCCAGTTCCTCTTTCTCATTTCAATTCATTTTTTTTTACAGTTTCTATATATTTTTTTTTATATTTATTTACCAGATTTCTCATCAAAACCTTATTGTGAATAAAGAATTTTCTATTTACTATTTTCATTCATTTTACACCTAGGGAAACGATATATATACGTTCCACTAAAGGGACCTTATAATAAAAAAAAAATTGTAGGTTATGTTTATGATTTTCAAAGTGTAAATGCATAAAAAGATTTAAAGTTATTATTAAGTTTTCATTACATTCGAAAAATTCAATAGAAACTATTTTTTATTTTACCTAATTAACTAGAAACTTTTTATCACGGTAAAACTATCACTAAACATAACCTAAAACTTTTTTACCATAAGGTCCCTTTTCCCGTGGGGCATCATATATATATATTTGTCTCACAGGCAAATAAATATTTATTTACTTTAAATAAATTTTTATTTAGTTCAAATAAATTTTCATTTGGTTTAAATAAATTTCATTGAATTTGAATAAAAATTGTATTTGCCCTTGATAAAAAATATTTTTTGTATAAAAAATAAAATTATTATATAAAAATAATAAATATATATCTATTGAAATGTAAAAAAAAAATTGATAATAAAATGATAAATATTATATCGTTCATTATAATAAGCTAAATCCTTCGTGGGGGATAAACCTTTGGAGTGAAACGTGATTTTCGCAACGTAATCGTATACACATATGCATTATCCATAGAGGATTATCTGCAGTAGCGAAAGCGTTCAATTATCTACAAATTTCGAGAATTTGATATTTTGATCTCGATTTTGATAATATCTGATTAGTATAGATATATATATATATTAGATTAGGTTATTGTTTTTTGATCATCTTCTAGAAAATATATAATATTTCATTAATTTTTTCTTATAGCAAAATTAATCTGTAAATAATTTTCTCTACACTGAATAAAGAATTTATTTGATTCAAATAATCGGTTACTTGACTATTATTAAATATTTACTTGAACCAAATAAATTTTAAAACCAAATAATTAAATATATAAACTGTATTTGAAGTAATTTTTTGTATTTGAAATAAATATCATTTCAAATAATAATTATTTGAAACAAATGATAATTAATTGAAACAAATTAAAATTATATATTTGATACAAATAAATATTTATTTGATGCAAATAAATATTTATTTGATACAAATAAATATTTATATGATTCAAATAAATTTTTATTTGATTTGATAAATAATAAATAAATAATGAAATAAAATTCTCTGGATTGAAATATAATAAGCAAAAAACAAAAATAACAAAAAAAAGTGTAAATGTGAGAATATCAGGAATGTGATTTCACTTGGCTTCTTCATCCCTTGGTGGCAGCGTTAACAACGGTATCACTTTGGGCGTTAGCTGGATAAGCCTCCTAACCCCATCCACCTGTTGCCCCTTCTTACGTCCCTCGTGCGTTCATTCTCGTCTCTTTCACGTCTGGCTATATCCTCTGATTTCTCTTGCTTCAACTAAACGAGAAAGAGAGAATATCATTGGACCCTCATTCTCCATCCTTTTTCTCCTTCAACAAAATTTCAACTCCTTGTATCATCCCTGAATTCACTTTAATTTCTCTCACTCCTTTTAAAAACCCTTTTTTTCTCTCTCATCCCTCCTCTCTGAATTTTTATCTCTTTTTATTCTCCGCGCTTCTTATATATTTTGCCTTCCTTTTTTATTTCTCTCCCCTCTCTCTCTCTCTCTCTTCATTTCGTTTTCGATTCTCTCTTCATACATCATCCTTCTCTCTTTATTTTACTACCCAGGACCAAAGGCTGCTTCGCTCTTTTGGGCTGTTGGACGTGTTTTTTTGCGTGTGCATACCACAGAGCAGTAGCTCCCGAAACAGTAGCTCGTATACCGGTACAGTCCTTGCAAAGAGAAAAAATTGTAAGCGCTATTTAAAAATTTCTTCTTCATCGCAAATAATATATTAACGATAATTACTATTTTTAATAATAAACCATTATATGAATTATATATATATATATATATATATATATATATTTTATAAATTTTCTCTACCCAGATGATAAATCCCAATCCGGATTTATATACATAAACATTTATTTTGATGTGGTATCCAAATCGAATGAGATTTTAACTCTTGCATTCAATTATTATTGTGGGAGATGATAATCCTGTACAGAGAGAGAAAGAGAGAGAGAGAGAGAGAATTAATAAATTTGATGGGGAGATAAAACTTTAAAAATGACTATACGATGAAAAAATAATGAAGCGAAAGAACTTTTTTTTTTGTACATTTATTATTATTTATAATTTTAATGAGAGACGGAGATTAAAATACAAAAATGAAATTAAAAAAAAAAATGTTTAAACACTATTTGAAATTAAAAAGAAAAATTTCAAAAAAAATAATATTAAAACTGATTGAAAACTAAAAAAATTTTTTTAAATTTATTTTTAAATATTAATTTTTTCCATGTTCCTAATAAAAATCTGTTCAGATTTTGCGTGTAGTAACTTCGGGAGTGGTATATATATATATGTATATATATATAGAGCGCATTCTGGGTCTAGTTAACCCTCATTGACACCGTGGATGGCTTAGCCGTTAGTGTTAAATTCACTCATACATAAATCTAAGTCCGCGCTTATGCCTTTAGCACAGCTTGTGCGGAATATTGTTGAGAGAGAGAGAGCACGTGCTCAGATTTCATCGTGCCACGACGTCGACGGTTAGATCATCCGGTTTAATTCGGTCAAACCGGCAGCCAGTGTCGACAGCTTCAATATAAATCCAAACGTTCGAGGTCGTTTCTTTTTCAATTCATAATAATATATTTTTAATCAAAAATTATATTATATTGCATTTACATTTTTGAAATATATATAATTTTTTTAGAGTAATCTCTAATCTTCTTTCTTTAACATTCAGTCGAATTTACATTGCATTATCAATTGGAAAAACAAATTTTACTAATTTTCCTAATTGAGTAGAACGCATGCGCAGAATGCGCGCGCATCCTAATGGCGTTGCCATGACAACACGTGCGTTAGAAAAGGAAAAAAACTGTAGGCCACGAGCGTACAATTAAAATACTTTTATTACAATTAAAATTTAATCTAAGATTCATTTTTTTGGGGTGGTAACTTTAGTATTATTAATATTATTAGTATTTTTAATATTATTAATATTCTTTTTCAGAGTCAGGCTTTGGCATTGACGTACAAGGCTTCATCACCTACGAGACCAAATAGTGTACCCTCTTTAACACGAAGTCCACAATCCCAACCATCTCATCAGTCACAGAGTGCCCCTCAACCTTCAACTGTTCAGTTCCATCAACAACAAACGCCAGTGAGTTCAACTCAACCAACATTTTCGACTCACAATGATCACCCTAAGCAGGAGGTCACCAGTAGTCCAAAACAGGAAGGTTTTGATCTCAGCAAATCTACTTCCGGAACCGGTAAGCAGATGATTATAAAAAATTAATGGCAATTGGATTATGACATCCGAAATTTATACTAAATCCATTTCTATTAAATTTTAAACAATTAACAAAATACTTGGGATTTTTTGTCGTATCTTTTTTTTAAATGATTTTTTAAAGAAGATTCGGAAACAAAAAGTATTTTTTATGATTTTCCTTCTCTGGTGTATATATACGCGGTTCAGAATTCGTGAACATCCCATTACATATCACCCTTCGTATATCTCGTAGGGTAGCTTCTCATGCTCGTAAATCTTGGGTGCAAACGAATTAAGTCACCTTTACGGCGAAAGAGAAAGAGGTATTTGTGTGTGTGTGTGTGTGTGAAAACGGGCTTTAGCCCATTTAGGTATTAAGGATTACTTTTCTGGGAAACGAAAAATCTCAGATGACATACCTACACGTCTCATTCTCTTTCTCAATTTCTCAGGTATAATATTTAATATTGACTTTTTACCAAAAAGACTTTCAACCCGGATTATAAGATAATCACTATATGGAGATAAAGGGGGACACGAAAAAAATATATATTATTTGAAGAAATATGTTTTCTAATTAATCTTTTTTGTTACAATGAAATGAAAGATTTTGTATCTGCATTAACAAAATCTTCTGGTTTTAGCATATTTTGTCCTAACCAAATTTTGGGTTTTCCTGTAACAAATTTGTACCAACATTAAACCAAATGTTGTCATAATCAAAATTTGATTACGACAACCAAGTAATTTTGTTAATATAAAAAAATATTTTGATCAGAAAAACTAATGGTTATACCCTATCCGAAATTTTGTTACGACAACCAAATAATTTAGTTCGCTCTCGTTTCGTATACCTTATGAGAATTACAATTAATTTAAATTCCTTATTTCATTTTCTCCCCCAATTTTATAGACAAAAGAACAAAAATTTTAATTGTATATGGATTAAAAATAGGGTGTTTCAAAAAAAAAAAAATCTAAACAACTCACCCGATACATTATATTATTGCGCGAGGTCTTCTTTCACGAAAATTTTCTCGGGGCCATGGAGATTATACGATTACGACGACTTATCGTTAGAGAGAGAGAAAGGTGTGCGTGTGTACCCATGGTATCGTTCGGATTTAGTTATCTTCTTTATTGTATATTTGTGTGTATATATAGATTCATGCATGAATTTGTGTGTGTATTCGCTTGCGCGCGCTTAATCGCGCATAATGTACACTCACATGGATGACATTGAGTTTGTGTGCATGGGATTTGAGAGAGAGAGAGAGAGCAGAGAAACCTACATACGTACTGGCATAAAACGAAGGGGAGGATATTGTGACCCTTACGAACTAATCCGGATTAAATCCCAATCCCCGGCTATGCGGCTAGGCGACCTGCGAAACGTGCATTGTATATGTATATATATGCGCGACATACGATCGACCTCGACTATATGCTTAAAAACTTAAATCCTTCACTAATCATTCATCTTTCAACTAAATCTTGATAAACGTTCGATTTTTCACGAAATTATCTAAATCATATTTATAATTTATTATTAAGGGCTTTAAATATTCGTTTTGAGATTTTCGACTTAGGTCGGTTCAATTGAAGATCAACAGATATAAATTAACCGAGCAAAAAAATTATAGGTTATGTTTATGATCGTTTGGAGTGAAAAGTATTTTCAGACTGTTCAATAAAAGCTGATTTTGATTTTACTTATACTTAAAAACAGATAGGGTAACTAAATACAGTGTGCAAGAGAATTAGTCACTGCTGACAACTGTGATATAATAAAAGTCACGATTACAGTTGGCAGACTACAAAATCGCTCAAAGTAGAAATAGTTCTTCCTTAATGTTATTTATTATTCATCATTAATATTAAACAAACCTCTCCACACTGACGAATTACTGAAATTGCACTGATTCGCAGAGTAAGAGACTACACTAAACCACAATCCCTCAAAATAAAATTAGTTTTTCCTTAATGTTACTTATTATTCATCATTAATATAAAACAACCTTTTTTCACGTTTCACTTTTTCTTATAAATCATCTTTTGGGTCGCCAGTCATCTGAAACAAAAAAAATACACAGTTTAGTACAAATTTTTAAGGTTATGTTTTGTTGAAACTTGCGAATAACGCAAACTTTTACTATTTTCATTAATATTAATATTATTTTTTCCACACTGACGAATCACTGAAATTCCACTAATTCAGATTAAGAGAGTAAATACAAAATATCGCTCAAAATAGAATTCCTTCTTCTCAAAACTGTTTCACTTTTTCTTGCATTTTCTTTTGTCATCTGAAACAAAAAAAAAATTACTACAAATTTTTGAGGTTATGTTGAAACAATTATTACTTATCTTAAGATAAAAAATATTTGTGTTAATTATCCTTCATACCATAAGTAGCAGTCATACAACAGACTATACAGGAGACCAAACTAATGTATTTGAAGGCAAGTTTAGTCGGATGTTCAAGTTTAGCAAACTTCTCGCTAGGGTGTATCATAGTCGATCGTGTCAGTTTACCATATATGTATTTAAGAAATTAAAATATATAAACTTCTAAAAACAGACGTAAGTCGAAATAATATCAGTAAAAAAAATTGCTTAGTTTATTTTAATATTTTCATTTTTGCAGATTCGGTGCAATTACTCGGTCATTATTTCGTGTGTATTGTAAAGTTAACCTCAAAAAAAGTTTGAGTTGCCATCCACATCTTTCTTCAGTGCTCTCGTTATATAAAAAGTATATAAATTATAGTATACTTTTTTTTTGTTATCACAAAACAATATCTTCAGGAAGTTGAAGAAAATAAAAAATATTTGCAAAGAGAATAAAAAGAAAAATTTTAAAGTAAAATACAAATAACGGCGCAGTTGTGTATATAGTCATGGGTATTTATAAGAACTTAAGAAGATTTACTTTTGTTACACCCGATGGATGAATATGGCAAGAGAGGGAGAGAGAGAGAGAGAAAGAGGGGGGGGAGGGTACCAAGTTTGATATCAAAAGAGAAAGAGAGAAGGGGGATCCACGTATCGGGTGGGGTTAGGATTATCTGAGTTGTGTGCGTTGGATTTCGGATTTGGAAGGCACGCGGGCAACTCGAAGCACACACGTTCAATAATACTGGATTAATCCTGTACACACAGAGAGAACCTCCATACATATACGTAACTTTCTACACACATCTTGACAAACATTCCTACTACCTATAAAGGGCCTTGGTCAAATCCAGAGCACACACACACATATATATATATTCTTGTGAGTCACGTGCAAACATCAACACATGTACAAAACACAAACGCTTATTTTCGTCGTGACACATTCTCAAATCTGCGTATTTACACACATACACATTATACATATATATATATGTATACTTTATATAGCGTCAGCTACTAAAGGATTTGGCAACTACACTCACATAGAGATTCCATTTGCTCTCAAAGATAATCCCGGTGAATAGAGAGTCTGGATAATCCTCGTACAGGGCTTCGCGTATCTGTTAAAATATATGGGTTTTGAGCTAAATATGTGTATGTGTGTTTATATCAGTGTGATTGTGCATTATTTACGATTTGTTATGTATGCATTAATGTATATATGCGGTGGGGAGATATACTGAAAGAAAGGAAAGATATATACTAATATATATGTGTGTGGACCACATACGTTTTGATATACTAAGCGGCTTTTTTTTGAGTTTTACATCTCCTATCATAATTCGTTATTGACGTCATTAAAATATATGTGACGTTCCGCGAAAAAGATATTTAAAATCAAAAAATTTTTAAGTTATATGTTTTTGATTTTTAGGCACAAAATATCATAAAATATTGCAAATGGCCGAACAACAATCGATTTTAACGCGATTTTTAAAATTCACCAATTTCTTGTGACAATTATACTGATTGGTGAATTTTAAAAATCGCGCCAAAATTTGTAAAAACAGATTGTAAACAATGGGCTTAGTTAAAAAATTATTTTTTATGTATAAGTAATTAGTAAAAAGATTCAACTAATTTTCATTTTAAATTTGCATTTTTATCCTTTTTGTTAAATTCAAAATTTCCAACATTGATAAAAAAATTTATTGCTCAGCGTGAATTTACATATTTTGTCCTATGTTGCAAAATTAAAATATTATAAACAGATTGTAATAATTTTTTTTCTTTTTGATCAACGAAAACCTGAAATTTAGAAATCCATGAGAATCAGGCCGGTATATCCCTTGGGACGTGTCCGGAAGGCTTTCTCTCGTTCTGAAATCCTGATTGTTCCATCCGCTCCTTATCCCAAGACTCGTCTCAAGGATAACGCTGGAATCATCTCTTGTAGAGTCTATCCCGTGGGATCACTCCCTCTCTCTCTCTTTAAACCTCAACATTTCCACTATGTATACATATATATATGTATTTTCCTTTTCCCTCTCGTAGATTACCAAAAGCAACAGGCGACTATACTTGGCACGTTGTATTTTCACTCTATACTGAAATTATCGTTTGCTTATAAAAACGAAAGATATTTATATAAATTAAATTTATAGAAATTTTTTAATTCCTTAAAAAAAGCAAATTGAAATTTTAATTCTATTTATCTTAAACGCTAAGCGGATCTAAATCAAAGCTTTTAGCCTTGTAATCCGTTGAGAACAATGGCTTAACTAAGTCTATGTTCCCAACCAAAGGTTAGAGAACATCTGATCGTTTTGAAAAAAAAATTTTTTTTTGTCCTTAACGAAAAAATTATTTAAACAAATTTTCCTTAACGCCGAATTTTTAATTTAGAAAAATTTCATTTGTCCAAGTTGGTTTTTGCCAATTATGAGTAATTAACGATTAAATTAACTGATCGATAGTGAACAGTTAGAAAAAAGATTTAAAAATTACTGTTATATTTTTAAATTTAAATAAATTCTCGCGCCATTTTTATTGCAGCGCCACCTTCACTACCTAACCTTTTTTTTTTTAGTTTAGATGTAC